TCACCGGAATTGTTTCAAATTTGGTACTTGAGATTCGTTATGGATACTACAGCCTATGACAGAAAATTGTCTGTGCAGGTCCACGTCTTCGTATAGCCCCCATATAACGTTACCTCTCTATATTCGGTATTTTGAGTTTAGGTACAATACTCACCGAAATTGTTGGAGATGTCGTATTTGATGTTCGTAATGGATGCTACAGTCTGTGACAGAAAATTGTCTATGCAGGTAAAGGTCTTCGCATAAGCCCCATATATCAGTACCTCCCTATATTCGGTAGGTACAATACCCACCGAAATTTTTTGAGATGTCGTATTTCGTAATGGATGCTATAGCCTGTGACACAAAATTATCTATGCTGGTCTAGGTCTGCGCACAGCTCCGATATAACTGTACCTCCCGATATTCGGTATCTTGATGATTTGAACTACATTATTCACCGTTTATTTCAAGTTTCGAATTTGGATATGTTAATGGCTTATGACAAACAAGGCCTATGTAGGGCCACGTCGTATAGTCCCCAATATAACGGCTATATTCGGTATTTTTAAAATTTTAACAGAATTTTTAAAGGGCTTTATTTTTCGGCCTGGCCGAACTTACTGCTTTTTAACTTGTTTTTAATCTGCAAATTCCCTCCAAACTTAATGCTTTTTCACTCGTTTGTTATATAGCTGTACCTATGCGAGATGCCAAAAAAAAAATTACAGGTCAAGATACATTTGTTTATGAATTAATAATTTTATATATGTGCTTATGCTTAACAGACAGATATTTTCTTACATTTTGTATTTTAATAATAAAAATATTTGTCCTAATATTCCAGGAGACAATTTACTCCCAAAAACTATTTTCCCATCCATTACTGGAATAAAATTGTTCCCAGTAATTCCACACAGAAATATTATTTCATACCTTCTGAACACAATTTCATTACAAAGTTCAGTGATGTTGAACAATTTTGTTTTTCATGTTTTTATTAAAAATAAACCATTTATTTACAATGACTATATTAAAAATATTGAAAAAAAATCTTCATTCAATGTTTACGGAAGCAACAAAAATCACTGCATTTGTGTGTGTGCATATTTTCGGTTAGGTAATATAATCAACTGCAGTGATTTTACAATAAAAATATTATTAGTTTAATTTGCGTTTGTGTGATTGCCTTAATAAATTTCATAATTTGGCCAGGATATTTAATAACAGTGGCCAAAGCTTTTTGATTCAGGCCTCCCCTGCAAATGGTCGAAATGCCAAAATGACCATTATTACATTTCGCTACATTGGCAAACACGGCGGATCAAATCAAAATGCTAATGCATTCATGGCGCTGGCCTCAGTCGAAATAGTTATAAACTAACTAAAATAACACAAATAATTAGCAAAAAACAACACAACACAAAATTACATATTTAAATTTTATGGGGTTTTTCTGGTCATGACATTTAAAATAATAACCAATTAAAAGTGTATTCAAATATTATTACAACGACGACAAATCAAATGCATAATTCAAATTTCATTATTTCGCTGCAAAATCTATCGCATCGTATCGAAGCGAATCAAATGAATTCACATTGAATATTAATGAAATGAAAGCATAGATAAATATGTGTAGATGTGTGTGTGTGTGTGCATTTTTGAAAATGCACAAATATCCACTGGGCAGACATATTTTCGCATGGCTTTGCCATTTATGTGGCTCAATTTTGTGATTAGATAAATGTCTAATACTAATGGATATATAATAATATTTTATGACATTTTTATCACAAAATATTTGAATTTCTAATTATTTGTATGTAAATAAATGTGGATTTTAAATTACTCTTCGATGGGTTGGTTGGGGGTCCAGCAATATCTTGACTGGGTATTGATAGACATAAATAGGTGAAATTAATTGAAAGAGACATCGAATCTTGTAGGGTTAACCTACTTAGAGAGGATTTATTTGAAGTAAAAGTAATGGATATGACAATTTAAATCCAAATCCAGTGGGTTAACCCTCATATATATAAACGTACTATAAGTATTGCATGTTTAGTACATTTTAGTACTTTTCGTACCATTTTTGTACGAATTGCTACACTTCATCAATGGCTCTAATATCAAATTTCAAAATCCCAGCTTTATCCGCTCACCATAATTCCAATTTGTACCATTTAGTACACATCAGTACAAATGTCTATAAAAACCTAAATTATACAATCCAATTGAAATTGTATTTCCCAGTTTCTGGATTCCAGTCATCCAAAGTCAGTTCAACCCAATTCAAATTGTACCAAATTTTAGTACCATTTAGTACATATAAGTACGAAATTCCAAAGCTTCCTACATATCCCAAATCCTAAACTCTGACAGCAATCTTATGTCCATATTTCAGGATTCGAGCTCTATCGGTTCACCCATTTCAACACATTTCAAAAACAGAAACAAAATTTCAAAAAAAAAAATCTATGAATCCTTTAAAATTTCTTAAATAATAAGCCACCGATATTAGGTCCCTTCAGCTCTTTTTGACGACTTTGGTGAAAAGCAAGCTCTATAAGTGTTGAGAGAGAAAGAATGAAAATCAAACTCACTTTTTGCTCTCTGAGCAACAAATAATCAAAACCTCTCAGTTTAGTTTTGATAAAAATTGCTCTCTATAATAGAGAGTAATATAAAGTTGAGCTAATGGAAGAATACTCCAATCGTATTTTAAAGGCAAATACCAACAAACTCACACACAGGGGAATGTGTGGATGTTTCTTGAGCTTAGGGAATTCGGTGAGTTCACAGTTGAAAATCCGGGTAGTCTTTGCAATATATTGTTAAGATAATTTTTGGGAAAGGCAAGACGAGAGTGATTCTCATTAACTTGAGAATGCTTGAATGCAGTTTGCTTTTCGAGAAAAAAAGTTATTCGTGATGGTATTCAAGCGTGATAGTGTGATTTCTTTATATTTGGCTGGAAAACCACGGGTGATTATCGTTAGAGAACTCCAGCATTTAAATGTGAATAAATCGATTGTCTCCCGTACCATCGATCGTTACCGTAATACTGATAGCGTAGCCCGACGTCAATGAAGTGGACGGAAGAAAACAGCAACATTACCAGAAATGGTTCGAAAAGTAAAGAAGCGACTTGATCGAAACCGAAAAATGGCCGAAAAATGGCTCGTGAGCTGAACATATCACAATATTCCATTCGGATTTTTTTTTGAAAATTGAGCTCAGGGTAAGCCATTGAAATTCCAAAAAGTGCAAGAACTTACACCGCAACAGAAAGAAAATAGACTCAAAAGAGCTAAAGAATTGCTTCGCTTGGCCGAAAGTGGTGGGTGAACTGCCGAATTTGGTTTTATCCGATAAGGAAACTTTCGCTGTCCAGAAGTTTGTAAACAAGCAAAACTTGCCAAAGAGGTCAGTTGGTAATGGTGTGGGCCATGGCCATGGTAATGGTGTGGGTCGCCATAACAGCCGCTCTCCGCTCGTATTAATCGACCGTGGCATCAGAATAAATGCTGAATACTATCGCGAAAATATTCTGGAGGGTGTATTAAAGCCTTGGACACGCAAACATTTTAGCCGAAGACCTTGGACATTCCAACGGGACTCAGCACCATCGCACTCAGCACGCACCACCCAAGAATGGTTACAAAATAAGGTTCCTAACTTCATTTCCACCGCACAACGGTCACCAAAATCTCCGGATACCAATCCGCTGGACTATTGTGTCCGGAGTATTTTGGAAAGCAAGGTTGGTTCTAAAAATACCAAAGTGTCGATCACCTCAAGCAAGCGCATCGCCGGGAATGGGCTAAAATACCGCAGAGCAATATTTGGGCAGAGTGTGACGGTTTCATTGGTCGTTTGAAGGCCATAATTCGTACCAAAGGTGACCAATTCGAACAAATCTAAATTTATTCTAAAATTTGATGCTATTTTCGATATTTTTTACTTTTATTCAATAAAATTAAAAAAAAAAATGTAAAAAATATGGTGTTTGAGTTTCTTGCAGTTTTTTTTATCTCACCCTATACAGAAGGACCCCATTGTTTTGAGATATATCTTGTAATATTTATTTTGGAGCTTTAAAAAGTTGTAGATGCCTTTGGATTATCACAAAAACCATTGGATAAAAAATTGGGTCACATTGGTTCAGTTGGTGGTATAGTCCCTCGATTCGGTTATACCCCGACTTCAAAAGTTTTTACGCATATAGAATATTTTCCATTTAACTTCGCTACCTACATATCAATGTATGTAGATGCACCTAGCCTCAGCTCTTATATAAAGATACTCCCAGATTCAAAATATTGTGGGGGACTTGACCAATCTTCTAGGATCTACTGTAGAATTTGATGATAAATAATTTTGTGGAATAAATTGAGTTGCTACTAAATTTAAATAAACCCTTTTGTCACTCGGTTGAGGGTTAATAATTTAAAAAAAAAATCTTATATTTCGGTCCGCAATATTGCCGCAGACATTTTGATTATTGTGAGCATCTAGGCCATATTTACCAATTTTCTAACTGAATTTTATTACAAAAGATCTTGTGGAATTTTATTTGCTACCATATTTAAAAATACCCTTGTGGTGACTTGCTTGAGAGTTAAAAATTTCCACCAAAATGATTCTCTTATTTTTATCTGCAATATCGCCGAAGACACTATACACCTAAAAGCTACGAATTCCAAGAAATGTTAATCCAAAAATTTGAAAAAATGATTGTTGGGGGGTGGGGTATCTCCTATCCGCTATTTACGTTACTTTGCGTTATTAAATTTCAAAAGGTCTAAACTATTAGTTCTATTTTTACAATTTCTCGGATTTTCCTTATAATTATTGGAAAAAATTGCGACGAAATGCACAGTTCAATTTTAATAATCCCAATTCTCTGTAAAATTAATTTAATATTTCTGTTTAAAGTTATATCTCATAACAACTCAATATTATTGTTTCATATTTGAATTAAAATCTCATCAAAAACTTTCTCATGAAAAACTTACCTCCTTCGTCTGTCATCACCAATATTGTTGTCTCCGGTCCCAGGCCCTCAGGGTTGAAAACCTGAACGGTGACTTTATATTGGGTGTATGGTTCCAAATTGAGAATTTCATGACTCTGCAAAGATTAAGAAACAAAAGACGACAAATATTAACAAAGTGGAAAACACACACTCCATATTTCCCAGCTAATCAAAATATAAAAGGAAAAGATTTTAATAAAGTTATATATTTTTTTGTTTTATTTATTCCAAAGACTATCATCTAAAATCTTTGGGACATATTCTTTTGGTAAAAGTTGTTGGGGATTTTGTTTTGTGTTTACTTGCCAGAGAGAAAAAAGTTGAGCATTTTTGAAATGCAAAAAGGTAAATTTTTTGGAAAAGTAACCAAAAATAGGAAAAGAGTTTTGTGTTAGTTTTTGTTGTTCCTGTCATTCGTTTACTTGTGCCGATGTTTGTGTGTGTTTGAGACGATGGCTTTTCATCCAAACAAAAGAGAGAAAAACAAACTAGTTTTGAAAGTAAGAGCTAGCTGCTGATAAAAAGTTGCATTGAGGTACCCTTGGTTTTGTTGAGACATTTACGTTGGGTAGGGTTTTCCCTCTCTCTCTCTCTCCCTCTCGTTGACGTGCATAATCCTTTCTTTAAAACTTTCGTTTATTTTCAAGTTTTTTTGTCCTCACACACATACCCACTCGAAAGTTGATAATAACGGAAATTGCGAGCAAGAAATCATTTGTTCTTCCATTGAGAGAAAAAAAGGAACAATGCTACTGAAATCGATTTAAGCTTATATCAGCTAGATACCCTACATTTTTGAAAGAAAATACATATCCTGTAAGTGGCGAAAGGATTTGTGGCAACATATAGCCATACAAATTAGTTATAACTCAGATCAGACTTGCCATTTTTAGCGATACTCATTTTTCCAATAGAAATTATGTTTTTTTCTTCTTGAAAAGAAAAAAAGGTTTCAGTTAACTTTTAAACTAAAAAAAAAATAAAGTATAACGATGTAGAAAATTTTGACCATACTCCGAAATATATTGGCTTTAAATTTGTTACGTCCTTTATAAAGTAATTTATAAAATGTTACCCGGGCTCTCAAATAACCACAAACCGTACAAATTCGTACTAAAAGGAAACACGATAACTTATATTTTTTAGAATTCTTTTTTAGAAAAGGAATGTTTTTAGGCTGGGATTTTTCGTGTAGGTCGCTATTGAGCCGGAATGTTAAATAAATTTACGGTTGTAGACATTTCGGTGAGTGTGGGGCTTCGAGATTTTATATGGCGGTTAATGCTCATGCGGATGGGTGATATGAAAATATTACTGAGCGTTTAAAAAAGCCAGAGATTTAAAATTTTGCATGGGGGCCATTTGTGGTTAGAAGGGGTTGAGATAAGGTGGCATTTCATACTTTAAAGGTGCAAATACAACGTGGCGTAAAATAATCCTTCTCTAATACGAAATATGCGAAATACACGTTAATAAACAATATTATGCTACATTGTCCCCGAACGCGGAATATTAATGACTATTTATGTGACCAATGATCGGTTGGTGACTTTGGCACAACGAGAATTTTGTCGCAGATTTCCAACCCTTACTGGTGAAAAACTGTTAGGTAAGATACTGTTAGGAAGATACTGGCACAATAAAAGATGCTGCCAGGCGTGGCAGAACCCGGAGTATCCGTTCTGTAGAGAATATTCACTGGAGGAGTTATTGGACATTTTTTTTCGAAGAAGTCTCGGGCCAATCCGTTACTGTGAAAGGTGATCGCTACAAAGCAATAATCAATAACTGTTGTTGCAAAATGGTCAGGCTTATCCCTTTATTGTTGTTTTTATAAAAACAACGTTTGTTTATAGTGGAGAACGATGGTAATGTTTACCAGGGGGTAAGGCAGGGAATACCTAGGTTTCGGAAAGAGCCACCAATCCTCATCAGTTCCCTTGTTTTTGTCTGAGATATTCTCCCCAGAAGTTATTTTAAAAATAACTTCTATGACAAAAAAATTTTTTTACCCAAGTGACGAGATCGTAAGCTCAATAGAAGAGGAACCAAAGAATTATATAAAACTAAAATTCTTTTGGAAAGTCTTCTAAATCTTACAACCGCACTTATAAACATTTTCATCTTTCTCCACTTGTTATGCTTTCGTTCAACCTGAACGAAGTAGCATAACCATGTAAGTTGGTTTTGTCTGTTACAACAAAAACCCCTTCGTCGACCGTGCCTTGTCTATAAATAGAACAGTGTGGCTTATTTGTTCTGGATACCGTAGTATTTTGTTGTTGCAAAATGGTCAGGCTTATCCCTTTATTGTTGTTTTTATAAAAACAACGTTTGTTTATAGTGGAGAACGATGGTAATGTTTACCAGGGGGTAAGATTTAGAAGACTTTCCAAAAGAATTTTAGTTTGATATAATTCTTTGGTTCCTCTTCTATTGAGCTTACGATCTCGTCACTTGGGTAAAAAATGTTTTTTGTCATAGAAGTTATTTTTAAAATAACTTCTGGGGAGAATATCCCAGACAAAAACAAGGGAACTGATGAGGATTGGTGGCTCTTTCCGAAACCTAGGTATTCCCTGCCTTACCCCCTGGTAAACATTACCATCGTTCTCCACTATAAACAAACGTTGTTTTTATAAAAACAACAATAAAGGGATAAGCCTCACCATTTTGCAACAACAAAATACTACGGTATCCCGAACAAACAAGCCACACTGTTCTAATAATCAATAACTTTTTTGACGCATCTTGATGAGTTGGGATTGGAAAACATGTGGTTCCAACAGGACGGTTCGACGTCATAATCGACATGCTGAATGATGCATTTCCCGGCTGCCAAATCTTCCGTTTAGGCGATTTGCACTGGCCAGCAAGATCTCCAGACTTCTTTTTGTGAGGCTTTTTGAACTCAGACTCTTTCAGCACTTAAAGACAATATCCATCAAGAATGTGAGGACCTATCGCTTGAAGTTTTGGCCAAAGTGATGGAAAATGCCATAAAAAGGGCTCAAATGACAATAAACTGTGGCGGCGACAACGTGATATCATGTTGTCGACTTGATTAAAAAAGTTGTACATTTGGTACAAATTTGGCAATATTCAAAAAAAAAAAAAAAAAATCCGTTAAAAATTCTGTTAAAATCTTAAAAATACCGAGTGTAGCCGTATATTAGGGTCCATACGACGACGTGGACCTCCATAGGCGACTTTGGTCACAAGCTAATACAATATTCAAATGCGAAATTTGAAAAAAAAAAATCTGTTTATAACATAGCTAAAGTCATCAAAATACTGAATACAGGGAGGTACCATGGGTTTATAAAACGTGGACCTGCACAGACAATTTTCTGGCATAGGCTGTAGTATCCATTACGAACTTCAAATACAAAATGTGAAATAATTGTGGTAAATAATGTCTCTAAATTAATCGAAATACCGAATATCGGGAGTTACCGTTATATGGGGGCTATACGAAGAAGTGGACCTGCACAGATTATTTTCTGTCATATACATTTGAAATAGTTCCGGTAAATAATGTCGCTAAAATCATCAAAATACCGCATATCGGGAGGTACCGTTATATGAGGGCTATATGAAGACGTGGACCCGCACAGACAATTCTCTGTCATAGGCTGTAGTATCCATTACGAACTTCAAATACCAAATTTGAAACAATTCCGGTGAATAATGTTGCTAAAATCATCAAAATACTGAATATCGGGAGGTACCATTATATGGGGGCTATATGAAAACGTGGACCTGCATGGTCCATTTACGAACTTAATCTGCCTACTGGCAAAATAAACATATGTGCAATTTTAGCCTCCTATCCCAATTAGTTCGAAAGATAGCGTGATTATAACAGACGGACAGACCGATAGACAGAGATACAGATACAGAATTTTACGCTGATCAAGAATATATATACTTTGTTGGGTCTGACATGAGTATTTCGAGGAGTTACAAACGGAATGACTACAGATATTGATTTAAGCTTATTTCAGATTAACACCCAACTTTTTGTAATGAGAATGCATATCCTATAAGTGACAAAAGGAATGGTTGCCACATATAGCCAAACGGATTAGTGAGGACTTAGATCAGTTACACGTTCATGTTTTGGTGCAGTCCTTTTATAAAAATATCCAATTTTTTCAGTTAATATCGGGAAAAAGATTAACCTTTTTTCTTAAAAATCCCATCAAAATTTAAAAAATTACTTTTGAAACAATTCTCAGAACGTAGCCTTTAAATTGTTCGCTGAGAATGAACACGTTCGATTTATTGTATAAATCTCATTTTTCAAAATTCTCCGAGCGATATTTGCGCTAATGTAAAACATGAACGACATGCAACGACAAACAAATACCCTTCCCTACAGGGCTTCAACCACCCACTCCACCCACCATGTATGACACAAAAACGTTAATCGGAAATTGAGTTTCTGCTTTCCTTCTTAGTGCTTTTGTGTGAATTTTCCGCCTTTCACATTCTCAAATGTGATTGCGTTGAAAGTAAATAACAAGTCGTAAGGAAAACGTAACAAATAATGTTACGTCTTTTGTTAAACTGTTCACATTGCCTGGCTTGGCTGGCATGGCTGGGTCACATCAACAGTGAACGGAGATAACTACGACACAAAAATCCCTATTTCAAAAAAATTATTTTGAGAAGAAGTTGTGTTGTTGTCTTCTTTTTCTCCTTTGCTCCCGAGAAAATGACACAGAAATTTACACAAAGTTTTACAAAAAAAAACCTTGGAGATAATCCGGTGAATTGCTTCGATTGAAAGGAGAACAATGTCCTTTGTTGAATTCCAGGAAAAGTTATTCCCTTGTTTTTCGGTTAAATAATCTACTGTGAAAAGAAAAACTTTTTCAAAAGAAATAGATGTAATTAAGTTTATTAGATAGTGGGATGTTATTGTAAATACGGGGCAGAATGGGAGTTTTAAAAAATAGATTTTGAAATTGAAGAAGAATTAATATTGAAATTTTATGAATTGAAATTTTTTAAAATAGAAATTTAAAATTTAATTTAGAAATTAAAAAAAAAATGTTAATTAAAGATGTAAATTTTATACACATTTTCC